GGCTTGGTCGTAGTCGTCGTCGGCTTGGTCGTAGTCGTCGTTGGCTTGGTCGTAGTCGTCGTTCGGCTTGGTCGTAGTCGTAGTCGGCTTGGTCGTAGTCGTAGTCGGCTTGGTCGTAGTCGTAGTCGGCTTGGTCGTAGTCGTCGTCGGCTCGGTCGTAGTCGTCGTCGGCTCGGTCGTAGTCGTCGTTGGCTTAGTCGTGGTTGTAGTCGGCTTGGTCGTAGTCGGCTTAGTCGTGGTTGTGGTCGGCTTGGGCGTGGTTGTAGTCGGCTTGGGCGTGGTAGTTGTGACGTCCGAGTGGGGGTCGCAGGAGTCTCGTTGATCGCTGCAATGTTTCCAGCCACTCAAGTGGTTGTCGCTAGCCCACACGCAGCGCGTCGTATCGTTGCACTTGAGGCAGTCGTAGAGGTTTTTGCAGGAGTATTCCATCTGGGTGTTGCAGTAATTGGAGTTGAGACCCTTGCCGCCGGGGAAGACGGTCTCGAGTGGGCTGGCCACTTGGTCGGCGTTCTTGAGAATGCAGCGGCCGACCCGGTCGTAGCTGCTGCTTTGTCCGAAGCTGGTTGAGGTGTATGAGAAGCGGACGCAATCGGCATCTTCCTGGCAGATGCTTTGGCAGTGCGCGGCGGAAATGACGTCGTCCTGGAAGGCGTAGCCGGCAAGATTATCGGGCTCGGAGTATCCGTAAATCCAGTTGTTGAAGCAAGTGCCGCTGCTGGTGGTATGCCCGTTGGCGACTTCGAGCGTCTCTACGCCACAGCGTGAGGCAAAGGAAGCGTCGTTCTTGGGGTCGGCGCCGCCGCCTTGGATGCTTTGGCACTGCGTTTGACAGTCAGTATTCGAGAGCGAAGCATCGAGCGCTACCACGTCGTCGCAGTTGACTTTGGCGCCACCGGAGGCGGCGAGGCAGTGCTCCGTGCCCAGGGATCCCTGGATGGACCAGTCGTCACAACAGGTCTCGAGATCCTGGAAGCAACTATACCAGTTCCCATTTACCACACATTGCGAATCGCGCACATCCGGACATTCACCGCATACGCCCGTAGACGGGTCCGGAGCATAGGGACAGCTGCCGGCTGCAGTTGCCGCAAATAGTCCAATTAACTGGTAAGTCTGAAGTCTCATCGCGCGTCACAAAATGTGCAGTGCATGCGATTTTCCGTTCCTACACGGGTAGGCAATCCACACGGCCCGGGCGGGCCGCACGCAGGCGCCGCAACACCGCCGCGCCCGAAGCGAGTGTGCCAACCAACGAAATGCTGACTTAGGAATAAAACTTATTTCGGAATCACATTAAAACTTCGAACCACCTTGGTTGGCATTCCTCTCAATCTCGCGCTAAAATTCAATTTTCCCTACCCCTTCATCTGTGCTATTGCTGTCACCGGCGTCGTGCCTTTAGTCATGCATTTAGTAGTCTCGGGTGCCTCCTTGGCGGAAGCGCTGTTTTATTAAGCCATTTCGCGCGCAATCTGCCTTAGCACACACGTGTGCTGGATGAACGCAGCCAGTGGCTACCCCCACCAGCTTAAGCAAAGAAGGATTGACGACAATTCTCCTGCATCCTCGGCCCCTGGCGCTTCCCGCTCGAGCCAGATCACACTAGAATCTCTGCAATTCCTCGTGTCCAGTAGCTATAAACGAGAAAAGCCGAAGTCCGGACAAGTTCGCATTTTAGGCAGGAACGAACAGGAATCCGAACAGCAGAAAATCGCACCGCGCAGTACCGCCGAGTCGCAACGGCCGGGTGCAAAGAAGCTGGAGCCTTTCCAAGCGGCGTCCTCCTTGATCGATACGGCGGTGGTGGCTGCAATGCAGCACAATCATGTCCACAGCCGGCCGTTGCCCGCCCCCCCCAAGCCCGAGCAGGTGGATTTGGTACGGCGAAGAGATGATGTCGATTTTAAGAACTCTCGAATTCTCAACAGGGCATCGTCACGCATCCCGGTCATGTCTCCGGGAGCAGCCGCGAAGTCTGACTTGGATCCAAGTGCCAAACAGGGAGCGTCAGACGTGAATCTGCCGCCTGAGGTGGAGGCAATTTCTCGGGAGTGCCCAGATATTAGCAAAGAGCATCTCCAGCGGATTGCGGGCACCGTGGTAACCATAAAGAACGAGGTGGTGATTGCGGGGCTGGAAGCGGTTAAGGATGTGATTATGAGCAAGATTGTGCGCCCGATACTGCGTCCAGACCTCCACAAAGGCTTGTATCGGGCCGTGTCCGGGATTTTGTTCTTTGGCCCGCCTGGCACAGGCAAAACCAGTCTGGCCAAGTGGATCGCTTACCAGGCGAAAGCCACTTTCTTCTGCGTGACACCTAGTGTGTTAGTATCCATGTTCCAAGGCGAGTCCGAGTCCCTGATTAAGTGCTTGTTCGTCATGGCAGAACGTTTGTCCCCCGCCATCATTTTCTTTGACGAGATTGATGGGTTCATCGGCAAGCGGTCTTTGAAGGAAGAAGAGAGCACACTCCGGATGAAGAACCAGTTGCTCCAAGCCATGGACGGACTGTGTACCCAGGAAGCCGCCACGGTCATAGTCATCGGCGCGACTAACAGGCCGGACGCGCTGGATGATGCAGCCCTGAGGCGACTGCAGAAGCGCATCTACATCCCACTGCCTGACGACCTAGCTATCTATCACCAAATCAAAAATACATTGATCAAACACGCCCAAGACCTTGAAATCTGCCGCTGCGATACGGCTTGCCGTGAGGCTATAGCTCACACCTGCGTGCTCCTCAATTATGATTTTGAATCGCTCCGAACCGTTCTCATTCCCCGCGTTAAAGGTTTTAATGGGAGTGATATTCGAGCACTGTGTGTCAAAGCGGCCGAAATCCTGTACCAGAACGTGCTGTTCAGCTTCGATGGTGACCTCGATAAGGTTCCAAATCCGTCGGCATTCGGCCTCCCAACCATTGACCATTTCCAGAAAGCGCTTTCGACAGTCAGACCCTCAACCACTCTTGACTCAACCACGCTGAACCAGTGGGCATCAGATTTTGCGTGCTTCTGAACTGCTCCGACGGAAGCACAAGACATTCGGCTCTCTCCTCCATAGCATGAAATGCTCCCAACCAATTGACATTTTGAGGCCCAGCCCCCACCATTCCGATTCTTGTAACAGCGATGTCGGCCTCGACTTAACTAGCTTAACATAATTTCTGTACACAGGCAACGGCAATCGAACAAACCGATAAGTATATCCATCATCACCTGCAATTAAAGTATTTCGGTGGATCAAGATGAGTTCGAGCCAGCATACCTTCAAAACGCTCCCCGTACATGATGCGATCTGAATAATTCAAGATTGGCTTTATGGCTGGCATTTTTGAAGCTCAGAAGCTTGTTTTTGCGAAGAGCGCACGTGTGTGCACACGATTTCAATCGAGATTTTGCAACCGGCAAATACAAGGGTGCAGCGATTCTAATGGATATTAGGGTTGAAAAGCATTATTGGAAAAATTCTGCCCTGAGACACGTGAGAACCAGTCCGCAGCCTCACGAAAAGCACCCTGAGCAAATACAGCGACTTCGGATGCTTTTTGTACGGCGTTCTCCCTTAAGATAGCTAACCGAGTTGAGAGCTCGTCGTCCGCAGGATTGTCGCCCCCACCAAATAGTGCGTCACTCGATATGGCTTGAGCATTTTTGAATTTGGAGAGAGGCGCTCCGTCATCCTCACTCCCATTATCTCGCACCACGTCCGTGGTGGACTTGGTTACAGTTACTTGGGGAACTGCGAATCGCTTTGGAGGCTCCTGCGTGCTGGTTTTCTTAACTCCCGCTTCAAATGCGTTATCAAAATCGAAGTCGAAATCGTCCACAGCGGCTGCTTTAGGTTTCGCAACCCTCATAACACTATCCGTCAGGTCAGTAGCGGCAGGTTTAGCGACCACAATCTCCTCGTCCCCACTCGCATCACTCAAGAAACCGCTGTCATCGTCCGAATCATCTACACGCTGATCTACAGCGTGTATTTTAGTCGTTACCAGATCGGGAAAGTGGTTTTTCATCATCTCAGCTGTAGCAGCCTACCGGGGAAACACGGTTAATGGGGAAGTTGTGGGCGCGAAGGTACAGCGAGTTGCCGCCTGTATTTGGTGCCGCCTGATCTTACATCTAATTGTATTCTGTATCTTTCTGCGGCCTTTGATCGGTAGTCCACAGGTTTATCATCTAGTCCCATGCCTAATTCCGAGAAGAATGTCTTTGCTTTAAGATTGCCTCCTAAATATACACGCACCGCCTCCTCCACCTTGATTGTATCCAAGGTTATAGATCTAACGAAGGATATCTTGGAACCAAGATTACGATGGTGACCACTACAGGCCAGACAAAGAAATATGCCGTAAGAGGTACTGATCCAAGTAGGGTTTCTCCCACCACAGTCAAAACATCTACATAGACAGATCCTACCTAGGTCTCTCGGGCCTCTCAAATCGGTCTCGATCAACCGCCTCCAACCGGTTACGATCAACCGCCCCCAACCGGTTACGATCAACGCCCCAACAACGTCAAACTGGGACAGGATCAATCCGCCGATTTGAAACCCGGGCATGACAATGACGCTCGCACTGGGGAAAGGGTCGTGCCAGGATTCATGTGCAGCTTACGCTCGTACTTACATTCTGTTAGATGGGTTCTGATGCTTCAACTGGTTGAAGAAATCATCCCTTTGTTTGTCACTAATTAGTCCTTTTGAATCTGGCTGCAGGAGGAGTGGTAGGGACTCCATGAAAAATTAAAAAAATGCTGGAATCAGTGGACTCGATACTTGACCCCAATGTAAATGATTACATCGAGGAATATATAGAGGAGTTACTCGGTGACCGTGACGAAGACGATCGGGTGCCTTTGGACGTAACGTATGGAATGGAGGTTGATGCAATTAACGTTATAGTTAATACTTTTGAAGGTCTCATTGCGATTTCGGAAACGATTGCGGACTGGTCTTTGGAGTTAACCGACTGTTTGAAAATTCTAAATGAACAAGAAGGGGAGGATATCTTTTCAAAGAAAGCTAGTGGCGAGGATTATGTAATTACCACAATTCACCTGTTGGCTTAAAATGCGTTTGCATCAGATATGTTTGCATCGCACGCGTTTGCATCGCACGCGTTTGCATCAAAAATGTTGGCATCGAATATGTTGGCTTAAAATGCGTTTGTACCTTTGGTACTTGTGCCTGCTGCTTGATATGATGTTCTGTAGATTGTAGAAGCTCTTGGTCAAATATTGGTGAAGGAGTTTCGGCCGGAACCGCTGAATGCGTTATTTGAGAATCCTTTTGAGTGGCGCCCGCCAGATTTTTATTGGGATTTACTTAAGAATGAGATAATTGTAGATGCAATTAAAAGCATATACCAGAAGCACCCTAGTTGTGAGTTTATTAATGCTTTCTTACAGGATTATTCGGAGAATCCTAACTTGAAATCGAAGCTTTCGGATATTACGGCGCACTATTACATCTTTGTGAAGGCGTTCAAGACTTTGGTTGAAGATTATCTGAAAGACGGTAGTTTGGAGGCAGAAACAAAACGGTCTTCGAGCGACTTGGCAGGAATGGGTTTGTGGGCCGGTGACTGGGCCAACGACCTTACGAACAAGATTATTAAGTTGGTCTGTCATGCGGAGAATAGTTATATATACGGCCAAGCCCTGCTGCATTTCATTCCCTATCACGACCCCCATTTCTTGAGCTGCAAACGACTGAGTCAGCTGTGCTACCGGTACCTGATCCAGGAACGCGGCGAAAGCACTTGTGCAAATATTATGCTTCTCTGCACACCCTTGTACAGCTACCCTCAGCTTACCAAGTACCTCTCCCTCCTCACGCAACCACTCAGCCACAGACATACCCAGCCCACTCACGATCGCCACTACGACGAGAGCAGCACCACTCCACAAATGCGGTACCGGCCCCCTGTCGACCCGCAGGTCAAATTGGACCCAGCGGTGCTCAAGCAGTTCACTCGCACCCTCAACCGCATACTGCGCCGCTTCCGGAGACACAAGACGCTTCTGCTCTTCCACGACACCCAGCCCTGTCGCGAAGCAGTCAGCAATCCAGCGACAGACCTCCTGGGGGATGAAGAAGGGGCGATTCAAGAGGAGCCAGACCTCTGGGAGCAAGACCTCCTGCCAGCTTACGAAGAACCGGCTCTCGAGGCAGCGGCCTACGAGGGAGCGGCTTACGAGGGATCGGCTTACACGGGAGTGGCTTACGAGGGAGCGGCATACGTGGCTTACGAAGGAGGACCCAATGCGGATCTGGCTGGTGATCGGACGGATGGGGGCCAGATGGCTGGGGAGGACCCTTCTGCGATGCCGCCCACGTTGCCGATGGCGTATGGCGGGGGTGACTTGGAGAAGAACGTGGTGGAGGACGTGGAGTGGGCGGTGGAGGCGGAGGTGCGGCATAAGCAGCCTTTGAGCGTGTTTTGGAATCTGCCTTCAGCTTCTCAGGCGGGGGACGAGGAGTTGATAGAGGAGGATTTGCAGGACGAGAAGGACCGGCGTGGACAGACGAAGTTGAACTTGCCACCGATGGAGTCGATTCGCGAGACGATGCTGTTGAACTATTTGTGGAAAGAGTTGATTTCAGGTGGGAAGAGCGGAATGGACGGCGGCTTATCGTGTGTGAGTACGAAAGATCGTGGCCGGCGATTGTCCGCCCAATTTTGTGGCGGAGAAGCACATACTCTCATCGAGTTGATACTGCTGCTTACGGTTTATTGTGAGTACGAGCTGGTCGTCATGCATCTCCAGAGTGAAGAACTTGAATGCCGTGGGAACATGACAC